TTTAGAATTACATTTGAGATGGTTGACGTAAAGTTTAATAGGGATAGACCTCAAACTCACTGCGGAGGAAAAAGAAAATCAGCAGAAGAAGAAAAAACTGCGGTCACTGAATCACACCCTGCACTTTATACATGGAGGTTTTTTTAATGTGATTTTAACCTCAAAACAAACAGAATGTTCTGCTTCTGTTTTTGTCAGAGAGGGTCGTGGGGGGATGCAGCTCCTTTGTGAATCTCTGCAAAAAACAACTTCTGGAAATGAGGCCTGAGCTGAAAGAGAGCTAATGTTCAGAGAGAGAAGCTGCAGGCATGGAAAACACATTTTTACGTGTGTGTGTGTGTGTGTGTGTGTGTGTGTGTGTGTGTGTGTGAGGAGGAGTATCAAAGTGGCTTTAAAAGTCATCGATGAGAGCTTTGACAGAGAAACTTAGACATCAGATGTGTGGAGGCCTAGAGATGCAAGTGCAGGAAAAGGGAGCCTGAACGCACCAAAACGCACGTAAACGCATCTTAATGTAGCCTACACAAAGTCTATCCTTGTTTTTAAGCACAGATGACGAACTAAAGGTTAAAATCAGACTCATGGGGACAGAGTGTGTGGTCAAATGTATGAATGAGATGATAACAGGAAAGTAAAGAGAGAGAAAATGTGACGTTTTTTGGTGTTAATTGATTTCTGTTTGTGCTGCCTGGCTGCTCCCCGGAGGTCAAACACTTTTTACGCACCTTTTTTATTCCCATCTGACAGTCCGAGCAGTCAGAGGGCCTGAGAGAAACAGCAGCCCCCCCCTTTCCACACACACACACACACACACACACACACACCCACACACACACACACACACACACACACACACACACACACACACACACACACACACACACACACACACACACACACACACACACCACACACACACACACACACACACACACACACACACACACACACACACACAACACCCACACTTTAATTATGCAAAAAGGCCATTCAACAAATATGGCCCTCACAACAAAAGACTCGGGTTATTCTGACATTCCCCCTACACACATTTCTGTTTTTTTTTCTCTCGACTGTGAGTAAGACCCCGAGATAAACCCCTGAACAAGTATCAAGTTATCACCAACCTTTTGTAATAAGAGTATTTTGTCTAATCCCAAATTGCAGTTTGAATTTTCCTAATGCTGAGCTGGTAAAGCCTCGGATTAGGCGGCGAGGAAGAGGAGGGGGAAAAGTTTTGTCCCTTCAGCCGGCAGCAGGATCTGCGGGGGATGTTGTGTGTCGGTGCTTATTATTAAAACCGTGATGCATAAAAACACAGAGGAGCTCCGGCGCCGCGTGGAGACCCGGATCCCTCAGGTGAGGATCTCTTTTTAGAAAGGCGGCTGGGAAAGGAAGTATAAGCAAAAGGCCGAGATGAGCACCTGTGAGATGAAGCCAGGAGACTTCAAAGCTCAGGAGAAAATAATCCATTCAGCTGGAGGATCCTCGGCACAGAGAGAGAGGATCCGCGCGCTTTTACGCAGCGTCTAAATGCTGAACATTGGGAAACTGACTGCAAGTGTTTCTACAGATTCTGCTTCAACAGGAACAGTAAAGGCACCAGGGAGATGCTGCGGAGGTAAGCCGGCTATGTTATTCTTTTTATTCCAGAAAATCCTTGTCAAATGTTTAAAATATTGGATTTGTTAGCTGCAATGTTTTGTTTTTCTATTTGTAATAAATATACTTTTCATTTAAACATGAATTTAAGAGGGTTTAATACTGATATTAAGAGGAATACATCTCAAAATGTAAGTCAAATTCAAGAGTTTAAGTGAAGTTTTACACATGAACAATTACAAAATTAAGAGCCTTTAAAACAATATAATTAAAATTATTTACGATCGATGTAAAAATAAGGTATTCTAATACATTTTAAATGGTTTCCTGCACACACACTCTTACTCTCACACACACTGCACCGTGTAAAACCTCCTTCACCGTGTTGGCGCTTTGCTTTTATTCTGCAGATTACAGACCCCTGTGATAAAAGCGCTTATAATACAAAGTAAAACAAAGCGCCTCGGGGGACGTGCGGTGCGTAAAGTGCGCGTACAGTCGATCCCAAGCAGAGAAGAAACGAATCAGCAAATTAATTTTGGAGGCATCAGAAAGGCCGGGGGAGGACGTCCGCTGTCACAACCTATTTCCCTGCTTTCATCCGAGATGTGAGGCTGCCTGCAGGGACCCAGCAGACCCTGTACTGCAGGGACATTTCACATTTTATTTTGACACCATTTACAATGAAAATGCACGGAAAAAAGGTACATTTAATGTGGTAAAATATGATTTTTTTTCACATCTAAATGTTAATATTGCTAATTCTTCAGTTTCTATCCCCCCTCTCCATCCTGGATGACCGAGCCTCTGCAGCTCTGCAGCGCGCTGAAATCGGCCCGGAGAGAAAGAGCGAGAGGGGGGGAGAATAAAAAAACATCTGCTCGGTACAAAGTGATTCCTCTAATCTTCCTCGGAGGAACCTGCTCAGCACCCGACCTCAAACAAAAACCCCAAACGCCAATTTTAATTTATAAACACGCATGCAGGTCGCAGGGGAATTGAACAGAGCAGAATAATAAGCACGCAGCTCGCTGGAGGAGGCAGTGAGGGCCACTTCAGTGCGTGCATTTCAATACGTTTTTGGGAAGAAAGAGGACAAAATCAGGAGTATATTTGGATTATGTGGAGGGTAAAAAGGAAAAGTGAGTTTTAGAAGTGTGTGAGCAATTTTACAATAAGAAAACAGTCTTTAAATCCCCCCCAAAAAGTGTTTACAAATATTAAGAAAACAATTATCAAATGGTGTCCAAATGCTTGTAACTTTAAAAACCTGCAGGAATAAATGCAACCACACACGTCTGTGGAGTATGAAATCATAAGGACTTTATTTATTAAGACTTGGGTTATGACACTGGAATAAATAAACAGATAACAGTTGGACACGTGCACCAGATGGAGCTCTAAGTGATTGCACGTGGAGCATATCTCTCTTCTTCAGAATACAATAAATCAAACCAAAAAAAAGTTGTTGATCAAAATGCCATGAAACGTGATGGTAGATCCACTTACAAGCAGCTTACAATGACAAACGGCAATAAAATAATATATATATTTTTTGTTTATGCCTGCATGAATCCAGACGAAACATGTCGGATGCTATTGGTCAGAGCAGTGATGAAAATAGACAACATGATATTTTTTTATTTTTTTTTTTAAAAAACATGATCTCTCTTTTGGTAACTGCTTTCAGCCAAGACAATAAAAAAAGCAATAGGAAAGTTAATGCATGATTTCTGAAGATATTTTACAAGTAAAAACTGTAAAATGAAATGATAAAAAGATTACAGTCAAGTAATGAAGTAGCTTGAAAAGACTGATATTTTTTTTTTCCTTTTTAAAGTCCACACACGATGAAAACAAAAGCATAAATCCCACGTTAAACCCCGTTGTGCTGCTACCCCTCAAACCTGCTCCACATTCAAGGCTGTGCTTGAACATGCAAAATACACAGGCTCCTCTCACATATGTTCACAAACAGTCACCTCTCCGGTAAAGAAAGGAGAATTAAAATGAAAACATGGGTGTATATATATAAGTGGGAGTCCAGTATAAAAGTTGGTGCAAAGGCCCTCGCAGGGTCGCTCCTCTCTGCGGATAACAAACAAAACAACAACCCACGTCCAATCACTGATAAAATCTAGTCTAGGAATGACTGCCCACTATCCAATAATATTATTATTCATCATTATAATCATGATACATTTCTTTTATCGGCTACATTTATCGGTTGTGTGTTCTTTCTGAAAGGACAATCATTGAAGCACACACTTCCTCCTCTTTCTTGGCCATCTTTCCTTTGTTCTGCTCCAGCGTTCTCTCCAGGTGCTCGTCCTCCTCCTCGGCCCTGCGGAGGGCAAAGGTCAAAAGGTTAGATGTGGCGTAGGGGAATCGGGGAGGAGGAGCAGGTGGCACACACACACACAAATATAGACACACACACACACTGGACCCCGCCCATACAGGTGTGCTATACTTCCGCACCGTGTTTTCACTTCGTCAATGCTCTCCAGGACACCCGCCAAAGAAAGTTGGATATTCGTATTATAGACTGTTCTGTGTGCAGTACTGAGGATTGTGGGTAACTTACTGTTTCTCCTGGGCGTCCAGGTCCCGCACCAGCGCGTCCCGTTTGTTGACCAGGATGACCAGCTCGTCCAAGCAGCAGCTGCTCTCGCCTCTTCTGAGCCCTCCGTCTTCTTGCCAGTCTGCAACAACACCAGAGAACACTCCTTCAGACGTGGATAACGTTGAGGTTTGGGACGGATGCTACCGGACAGTTTGAGATGAACATCTGCAGCTTCACTGTTTCAGCTCTTCATCAAAACTCTGAAGGACTACACTCAGAACGTCCACCTTCCTATTGGACTGTGTGGAGATGACCAGCTCCATGTAAACACACTCCATCAGGTTGTGTGTGTGTGTGTTTGTGTGTGTGTGTGTGTGTGTGTGTAGGTGGTGTGTGTGTGCGCACAGTTACGATATGTGACCCGAGCAAACACACTTGAAGGATATGTCATGTTAATCTGCCGCATGGTGAACACACAGATATATGAAGAGTCCCTCAGGAACATGCTGTTGTATTAAGTCTAATAATCCCAGTAATATCGTTTCAAACCTTTGTATTCATTCGAAAGTTTTGGGTCTATTTTTTTACTTAATCTAGTGAAATGATCTCTGATAAAGAGTGAGTGGGAATTCAGTTTCTGATTTGGCTTCATTCAGATTCTAAATTGTTTCTTTGAGTCTCAGAAATCTTCCAGAGAAACATAAATAAATACACACGGCCCCCCAGTCTGTTCCTCTGAATAAACAAACAGGTGAGGCCCCTGACTCGGTTCTCCAGGGCAGGGAAGGGGCCCCCACAGGGTGCAGGTGGGACCCCGATCCAAATCCCTCAGCCTCTCCCTAGGGGGGGGGGAGGGAGGCCCACAGGAGAGCTCTCTCTCCCCCGGGCTCAATATCCGCCTGGCGCCCTTGGCTCCACATTCACCGGGGCAGCACCCCCTCCTCCTAAACAACAACATTTACACAAATTCAAGGAACCAAAATGCCGTCTAGCATCATCTTAAATCCATCTGAGTCACGTTCAGACTCAGAAACATCTCCAACAGCTGAAGGAGAGCTCCTCCTCAGCGTGAGAACGTCTCCCCTCAACATCCCCTCTCTCCTTTTATGCTAAAAAAGAAATCCTCTCCATCCCAGAGAGAAATCAACACGGCCGAAACGTGGCGAGGCTTCACCCCTCTATCAATATTTAACCAGCTATTGATTCCAGAATAATAAGGAGATTGTTAAAATGTCACTCCCAAAAATAAGTGTGGCTTTATTAAAAATAAATATCCCCCCCCTCTCATTGAGTCAAATTGCGGCAGTCAGACTGTGCGTGTGTGAGTGTGTGTGTTGTGTGAGTCACGCTGGGTGCAGTGTGTTTGTCCTGAAAGGTCTGCTCTCTTCTTCATTGGCCGCTCGTCTCTTTGAAGTCGACCACAGAGCGAAATGAACACAGTCCCAATATTGTCTCTCTGCACTCCTTTCTCTCTCTCTCTTTGGTCCTTTCTCTTTTCTCAAGAAAGCAAATGTACTCTCTCTCTTTGTGGGGAGTCGACAAATACTCCATAATAAACTGCCAAATATGTACTGCCAGGATCTGAAGAGTGCTTCCTTTTCTTTGAAGTCACTTTGAAATGAAATCAAATTGTGTCAAAGAGAACCAACGAGTCATCATTGTGAGACAGGAATGTGGTGTGTATCCATACCGCCATACTGCACACACTTTCCCACAATCCTCTCTTTCTGCTAGCCCGGCCCCACAAGAGGAGGGTTACAAAAATAAAAAAAACGTCTCCCACAAAAACACAGAGAGAGAGGTATGTAAAAAAGTATTTCCTCTTAATCCGGCCCTCCTTCTCCTTCAGAGCACATCTCAGCCAGAAAGCCAAAGTCCTGGTCGAAGGGTGTGTGTGTGGGTGTGTGTGTGTGTGTGTGTGTGTGGTGTGTGTGGAGGGGGTTATAGGGGGGCAAGCACTCTGCTGTCAATCACATGTCTCAGAGTCCCGCCCCCCTCATTAGGAAGGTAAACAATAAGGAGAGCCGATGAGAGACGTGACCAGGCAACACAGAGCAGGGCATGCTGGGTAACCAGCACCCAGGAACAAACAAAACACCCTGCAGCCACTCAGAGACCCCCCCCCCCCACCCTAAGCCCCGCCTCCCCCATCAGAGAGAGAGAGAGAGACAGAGAGAGAGTGTGTGTGTGTGTAGCTCACATGGGTGGGTGTGTATTCAGATAACCCTCGCCAACGGTAACCATGTGAGTCTGCACAAGGCTCACAAGAATGCGCTGGTTCAAATCCCCATGAACCCCCCCCCCCCGCGCCTCCGCTCTGCCACGCTAAATTTATTCAAGAGAGCAGAAAACTGGTCCAAGACGGCTTCTCTCCCAGCGAGGGAGAGAGCGTCTCTCGTCTCTCGCAGAACCACGATGTGACGTCGAGGGATTTGATCCACGGAGTCATATATGGAGAGAAATCGATCTGAAGTGTCTTCGGACGTTTACAAACGTATTCCCTTTCATTCCTTCGTCTCTCTACCTCTTGTCTTTGGGGTAAAAGGCCTCCAAAAGCTGGTTTTGGCCAAAGTCCAAGTGGAGTCAAGAGACAAAAAGTGTCACCAGGGGAGAGAAGAGAGGGCGGAGGGAACGGGAGGTAAATACAAACTATTTCAACAGCAAGCAGGAGATGTTGTTCTCTGTTACGTCACAAACACGCTGAAAACATACGATTGAATTATTGATTAAAGGCGAGAACCAAGAACCGACCAAATGATTACTTAACTCGCAATAAGACTTTGTATTGTGCACAAAGTCCAAGAATGAGTTCATCCCACTAACAAGTTCTGTCTGTTTATCAAACTCCTCTGTGGCATAGAGCTCCATTGTGAGAAACAATGATCAAGAAGTCTCTGCTGAGTGAGATGTTTCATTGCTGTGAGCACAGGGTATATGCAGGAAGCCTGAAGTCAAATGTAATTCCTTTTAAGACCTTTTTTAAGACCCTTTCCATACATTTTAAGACCTCATCGCCACTTTGAGTTCTAACCGGTTACCTTGGCGACACACTTTACCTCACATTGACTATATACAGTATTGATTGTCCTTCCTCCTTATCTTCCAACCATTTGGACGCAGACTTGCATTTCCCCATAACGATGTTGTTTAGCAACCGGCGTAAACGGACCTTCGCGCGCTATCAAGCAGTGAGCGCGCGATGTCCTGTTCAGATGACGTCACATCCAACGGGATGCCATAAATAAACTACACAGAATCACACTACACACCTACGCCATGATTACATTCAGGCAGACGGTAGAATACAACCTGTTTGGACAATTTATATACTTATTGAAAACAAGCTACAAAATGGAATACCTTGGAAAATGCCGTTTAATACTTTTTAATAGCCTTCATTTTCGCTAAATTGATTTATCAACTTTTAATACTTTTTAAGACCCCGTGGACCCCCTGAAACATTCACTAGTGCACCAAATGTCTTTAATTCTACAACTGAAAATAGTCCATAACAAATGACCGGCACTGCTCAGCTGCTCTAGCTAAACACACCTGATTCCAAACCTGTGTGTCTTCAGTGACAGACAATGAGTTCTGGAGAGGCGCTGACACAGTTAGAAAGCCTTGAGAGACACACTGATGCTTTGTTAGGTACTTAATACCTCATAAGCTATATAATACCTCCAGCTTTGTTGTTTGACTTCAGGACACTAAAGGTAACAGTCAACAACTTAAAGTCATGGTTACCCAACTTCTATTCTCCAAAACAGAACCATTAGCCGCTTTCACACCAAGTACTTTGCCGTACTTAGTACCCAGCACTTAGTACCCCCATGGAACTAAAGAGCAGATCGCGTTCACACCGGAATAAGTTCCTGGGGGAGGATTAGGCAAATGAAGCCGCTGACGTCACTTCTTCTTCTCCTGCTTTGGGTTTACTGGCAGGCCGCAAACCAGTTCACGGCGTATACTGCCACCCGGAGTCCCCGGCCAGAAGTCCCCGGAGTTGGGGACTGGCTTCAGTAGAAGCTGCTGGGAGTCCCAGCAGCTTCTACTGAAGCCTTCCGAGTAAATCGCCAGAACGCCGACACCTCCTCATCTCCACCGCTCCCATGTTTTTTTTTGTGTTGCCATAAGTTAGTCTCTCTCCGTTGGTGCGCTGGGCTAATGCTAATAATGCTAATGCCAGCAAATACAATGGCGGCTTCACAAAACTTTCCCGAGTTTTACGGGCCGTGGTTTGCAATCCGCCCAGCCAATCAGAAATGGGAACTTTTCTCTCCCCAGGAAAGTACCTGCTCTCTAGCAGGGACTAAAAAGGGGGTAAAAGTTCTCATGAACTAAGTTCTCTTTTTGGTGTGAACGCAAAATCCCAGGAACTATCGGAACTAAAAGGGAAAAGTACTCCGGTGTGAAAGCGCCTATTTCAAAACGTGATGAGACAGTAAAGCTCTTATAAACTGACACAGACAACTCGAGGAGACACTGAACGAGCAGGAAAGCTATGTAACTCTTTGAGAGACACGCAGATCCATAATACGATGCAGAAACTGAAGCATGAATCTAAAACAATAAGCATCTGTCCCAGCATATGTTACAATAACCAGCACCACGTTAGCTTCACCGCAGTAAGGGAAATACATTTAACAACGTTATCTCCAGTTTTCGTGTCACCTGAGTGAACCAGCACAAACAAGCTCAGTGAACTAAATTAAAAACTAGATGTTATTTTCCTAAATTTCCCCCAGAAAGTGCAGTCCGACTTGCTTCTTGTTATCGCCGGTTCCAGTCAACTAGCAGCGCTGAAAGAGTTGGCAACATCATCAAAA